GCCCTTCACGTGGCCTGTCCATTGATCCAACACATGACACTGACGTAGTCGCACCATTTGCTACCACCTTCAATGACCTGCCTAGAGAAAGTTAAGCGTTAAAGGACTGTTATTGGCGTTTTTCCTCTTACGATTGCTTTGAATAAAGAATGTGTGATATTTTTTTTATGGAATTTCAAATTGCTGACCCTCCATGAACAGGCATTGAGGTGATATTGAAATTTTAGCCTTCTGTTACATCAAGTGCATGCCATAAGTGGCAAATAATGCTGACACCTTCCTTACACCACTCCATTGATGGCGTTGCTAGAACGCTGCTACCTTCGACATTAACGCACGTATTTGTAGCCAAACTGGGTGCAAACCGATCCACTCCGAAGGACGTACAAGCGTAGATTGACTAGGTGATCTGTGCAGTACGGATTCCAGTCAAGATAAAAATGGTGTACAATTAATGGTTAAAAGAATAGGACAGTTCCACTTGCCAGGTCTCATCACCTGAATCCCTTAGGTCCCCGTGAGAAATGTTATTTACGGTTTTCCATCTTGACCCGCCTAGGTCAGCACTAGCGTATATCTCTACTGGAGGCAAAAGTAGAAGTCGGTCGACTATACTCGCTTTGCATGTTTTTATTTATGTCATATCCTCGTGTAAACTCTCTACAAAAAGCAAGCCTTCTGCACAGAAGTAGATTGAAAAATTGTCCGCAGTTCCCTAAAGGCATCTTGCAGTATTTCAGCTCATCTCTTGTCCTCTCGATTTCACCTCAGTATTCCTCTTCCTCTTCACCTTCACCCTCTACGCTGTCTTGACCAACCTCCTCGTAGTCTTTCTCCAAAGCTGCCAGATCTTCACGGGCTTCAGAAAACTCACCTTCCTCCATGCCTTCACCAACATACCAGTGGACAAAGCAGCGCTTGGCATACATCAGGTCAAATTTGTGGTCCAAACGAGCCCAAGCCTCTGCAATCGCTGTTGTGTTAGAGATCATGCAGAGGGCTCGTTGAACCTTTGCAAGATCACCGCCTGGAACCACAGTAGGTGGCTGATAATTAATACCAACTTTGAAGCCGGTTGGACACCAGTCAACGAACTGGATGGTCCTCTTAGTCTTGACGGTGGAGATGGAAGCGTTGACTTCCTTGGGGGCCACATCTCCCCGATAGAGCATACAACAAGCCATATACTTTCCGTGACGTGGATCACATTTAACCATCTGGTTGGCTGGCTCAAAACAGGCGTTGGTGAGCTCAGGAACAGTGAGTTGTTCATGATAGGCCTTTTCAGCTGATACAGTAGGTGCATAAGTAACTAGAGGAAAGTGTATTCGTGGATAAGGCACAAGATTTGTTTGGAATTCTGTGACATCCACATTCAGAGCTCCATCAAAACGCAGAGATGATGTCAGCGAGCTGCACACCTGAGCAATAATACGATTCAAATTGGTGTAAGTTGGACGTTCGATGTCGAGGTTACGTCTAAAACCGAGAATATAGATCTTGAGACACACAGAGAGTACAATCATGAGACACAAGCAAGAAAACTCACCGACATATGTCATAGCAAGCTTCGTTGTCAAATGCAAAGCAGCAGTCCGAATGTTCAATGGTTGAATGGGTGCATAGAATGGCGTTATAGGGTTCAACCACAGCCGTGGAGATTTGAGGTGCAGGGTAGATGGAATATTCCAGCTTCGATTTTTTGCCATAGTCCACACTGAGCCGTTCCATAAGTAAGGATGTGAATCCAGATCCCGAACCACCTCCATACGAATGGAATATGAGGAAACCTTGGAGACCAGTGCATTGGTCTGCAACTTTGCGAGTTCTGTCGAGAACTAGGTCCACCATTTCCTTCCCTACTGTGTAGTGTCCACGAGCATAGTTGTTAGCTGCGTCCTCTTTCCCGGTAATAAGTTGATCGGGATGAAATAACTGGCGGTAAGTCCCGGTTCGCACTTCATCTACGCAAATGTAAAAGAGGGAAGTAGTGAAAAGAGGATAAAAGAGACAGATAAGAATATATGCTACGGATACATACCAATAACGGTGGGTTCTAAGTCGACAAAAATTGCTCGAGGAACGTGTTTTCCAGCTCCAGTTTCACTAAAGAATGTTGAGTACGAGTCGTCTCCACCTCCAATCGTCTTGTCACTAGGCATTTGACCATCAGGCTGGATTCCATGCTCTAGGCAGTAGAGCTCCCAACAAGCGTTTCCAATCTGACAACCACCTTGGCCAATGTGGATACTGATGCATTCACGCTATAAAGACGTAAAAAAAACGCACAAAATTTCAAATGCAAACAGTACTTTCAGCAGCCATTTGTAGAATTACTTTACAGTAAATTTACCATGTTGAGGCAGCAGTTGTAGTTGACGCAGCCGAGACTATTCGTAAATTGTCGTGTTGTCGACTTTGTGAGCGACAGATCGATAATTTAAAC